CATTTGACTTTGCAACCTACACATTCACTCATCATAACTTTCTGTTGTAGTATGTAGGCATGACTTGAATTTGCATCCTTCTTGCTAAAGAAGTTGTATTAGAAATGTAAAGCTTCCAGTATCTTTCCACTTCAGAACAAGGTCAGCTCAAGCCATGCCCAATGACAGCTCGTGCCCTGCTGGCTGAGCCCCCTGCGCAGGGCAGGACCCGTGCACCCGGGGCATCCCACCAGCAGAGCTGCGGGGCCCGTCGCTGCCTGTCCAGAGGTGACAGCCGAAGCCTGGAGAGGTGGTAACTGAAATGCTGCCTTCCCTGCCTGAAGTTTCAGGGTGCGACTTCTGCGTGATGACTCCAGTTAAAAAATCTGCAAAGCTTAGACTTGCAGATGCAGAACGGTCTTCATTTGCTTAGCAACTGAGAGAAGCTGTCCCAGCCCCAGCGCTCCTCTGCCGGTGTAAGCATCGTCCTGCGGTTTGCCTGGCACAGCAGGACTTGCCAGTGACCTTTCCTAACGTAACCTGGGCCTTAGCCCCTTGACAAACTGACTCTGTTGTAACACAAGATGAGATTTAGAGAGGCCGGCAACGGCACTTTAACGCCACAGTTTTTAGAGGGCTTAATACAGATCCCGAGGCATTCCTAAAATGGAAAACAAAAATTCTGCTAAGCGCTCTCATATACATTTTTGAATGTAGCATTAGAGCTTGTATTAATTCAAGAGATTCCGTCACCAGGGCTTTTCTCCCCCCTTTTCGGATCAAACAGGCTTTCTGCGTGCAGAACAACTGCTTGTACTGTGGGGGCACAAACCAGCACAAAAAAATACTGGCAGCAGATGGGCAGCCTGAATGGAAAAGAAAACCCTGAGCTTTCCACTTCTTGGATGAGAGTTTGGGAGCGTTACATAAGGAGGAAATAGGGAAAAAAAATGCAAGCGTAAGAGAAGATAAAATCTGATTAAAATGCAGACTAATATAATTGCAGACCATTACTCAGGCTTTCTTGTGGAGAAGGAAAAATGTCTGCTATTATGCTGCTATAGAAACCACGCAGAGTCTGTGGGTAGGTGAGGGTGCATGGAGCGTGTCCCTCCCTCCTTCCCTCCCGCCCTTCTCTGCCCTGGAATGAAGATCCTATCTTGCTCAGCACGCTTGGCCTTGGCTGGCCAGGAGATCTCTCCCAGTAGAGAGAGAAGTTGTTTTCCTGTTTATGTAGTTTCTTTTAATATCTCTGTTCTCTCTCTCTTTTGTTCTGCTCCTGGAAGGTGATGCAGGGTTGTGCCAGGGGAGGGATAAACTCTGGTCTTCTGGGGCTTTTCGCAGGGGTTGGTCAACTTGGCTTTCTATGTTGGGAGCATGGCACATACGTCCTGTGCATGAACAGAGAGCTTTCTTGTATTCATTCCTAGAAAGCCAGAGAGAATTCACGGTGCTTTGGAAAGTAAATACTTATCTGGAATGAGCAGACGTTGGCCATGTTTCTGAACACCGTGTCCATGCCACTTGTTTCTCTGAAGCCATGCGTTAGAAGTTAATTACCAAAGCACTGGATAACAGTGAGGTTCATTCCCTGGCTGCCGATGGAAGTGTCTTTAAGGAAGGTGTAAGCGGCATGCAAGCTTACCCTCTGAACTGTGGCACAAAATAAACTCTAGAAATGCGTCCCTGAAGTGTGGAAGTGTGTATTCACACCGGCTCCAACCCATGACCATCCAGGCTAAGACGTTGTCTCTGACAGCAGTCACTTCTGCATAATTGAGAAGGAGACAGAAGAAATTTTGTATTAAAAAGACTGATAGATGAGGAAGCCTGTCCACACTGTGTTAGAGTTCTGTCCACACTGTGTTAGAGTTCTGTCTGGTCCATAATGCTTAAGAGATGGGTTCAGAATTTGAGGAGATTAATTTACTGCTGCTTATCAGTTTTATGCTGGCATAAAGTACTGTAAAACTGCATTTTTTCCTAATTTATAAATGTACACTCCTTCTTTGTAGAGTGATAATTTTAATTTTTGTCCCAGTGCCTTCCTACAACAATTGACTCAGTGGCTCAATTTTACAATATATTCTGTATCTCAGTTTTTCCAGAAGTTCCACCTTTCAATCTTGCTGATTGTTTTGCTTTTGGTGTTCTGAGACAGAGGGAGAAGATCCCATTCTCTGGTTATTTTAGCACTTTCATCCAGTCCCTAATTAATCACCTCCTTCATAAAACCAGTTTATTGAGGTGTCGTCTCGTTTTTGTCACCCTTTCCCATTTCCCCTTTTCTACCACACCCCTTTACATGTCGGAGACACCACTGCTGCACACATTGCTATAAGTTAGGCCTAAATATTTATTTATGTAATGGTTTTAGAATATTGACTGCAGGCCTCTAGAAGGGATCTCTTGGTCATCTAATCTCATTGCCACTGCAGTCAACCACACCATGTAATCCCTTCTATAAACTCCTCCAGCTCCATTTAAAAGAAGTCAGACTTGATTTTGCTCCAGCCACTCTTGCTAGAGGGTTCTTCCAGTGTTTTGCTACTCTGACTGCAGAGATCAGCTTATACCCATTTGTTCTCATGCTGACATTGGCCCTTAGTTTCAACTAAACTTTTAGTTTAGCTCCCCTTTTCCCAAGCCCCACTTTCTTTGTTTTGCCAAACTGAATACATCAAGTGTTTTTATCCTCCTTCGAAATGGGCTGCCGAGTCCCTGATTATCATAGTGGCTTTTGTCCATACTTGCTCCGCTTCGACTTACTCTTGACTGGCTTACAGAATCACACATCGTACTGCAGATCTTTTCTGAAATTGCTTATCTGACGTAACTGGGTTTATGTTTCCCTTTTTACACAGCTCCTACTCATCTTGTGAGTAACTAGTCTTTCTTTTCCAAGTTCTGATCTCATAGTCAATGGAAGAAACTTTTGTGATTAATCTCTGCGTGTCATTAGTATTATCAAATTTAATTATATTTTCATTATTCCAGTTCTAAGAGGCATGTAGTTTCTCCAATATACTATTCCCACCCTTGTTTGAACTGGTGATGTCTCCTAGCTCTGCTGACAGCAGATTTCATTAGCATGCTTGTGTTCTCAGTGACACCACTATAATGAAAATATGAAGGACGACAGGAACCTTGATGAATCCCACAGACCAGCTTCCTTCAGTCTGATACTTCCCATATAAAACACCCCTCTGTTGTTGTCTTCTGATTCCCACATTCTTCTGCTTAAGTGGTCAGTTCCTGTCTGGACAGTATCAGGTATAATTGACGCCAAACAGATTACATCTACCACATTGCCTTTCTTTAACAGAAAGGGAAACAAGGTTGTATCTGGGAAAGGTATCATGCTGAAGCAACATTTCATGTAATCCCATGCTTGATTTTATCCCATTTATTCCCATATCTTTAATTATTCTTTCCTTCAAAATTTGTCCAAATTATTGTGAATTATTTCCTTCCCTTTATTTAATGCAAGTATTCCAGAATGGTTTGAGTGCTACAGTAAAACTTCTTGCTCCTTCCACCCTCATCTTCACACACTTGGCCTGTCTGCATTCTGGACGAGATCAGTTGTTTTTCCCCACTGCAGTAATTACCCATGACTTTCTTCCCGTTACTCATCCTCCCTCTGCTCCCATCTTTCATGTAATCATCTGTATTAAAAATGGAGGCAAAATGCTTGTTAGTTTGGAAATATTGCCAGAATTCCTTCAATCTGTATGCCCCTCTCACTGCATGACAGCCCTGTTTCTTTTTCCCTGGTTGAAGTAACTGCTTCTAGCTGCCATTATTTATCTTCTGTATGTCCTCATCTTGAAGACAAAACTTTCTTAGGAGAGTGATCCTCCTCACTGTTACCTGTAGGTTTTCTATTTCCAGTGACCTTAGTTCCCAAGCTGCCAGGAGATCTTCCATGAAACCCTTCCCGTTTGCTTGAGATACAATGTCCAGATCATTTCTGCTGCTCTGGCGTGAAGAAATCCAGTCATTCCTTTGTATTCAAGTCCTTGAGTCATTCAGCCTTGGTGATTTTTTTCTAATTAGGTCTCTTACTCTTTCC